CGGTTCCCTCTTTCCTACCCACTCTCCCTCTACCCTCCCAGTATCGCCACTCACACCACTGGTCCTGAAGGGATCATCCGCCCTGGATCCCCTGTGTTTCCAGTTCCTATCTGTACCAGTGTACATCCTCTGGTCTAGCCAGACTTGTGCAACCCTTTTGAAAAGCGATTTAACTATGCAAGTGTGTGATGTGTGAATTCTATAGCAAGAAAACTACTAAAAAAAAGAAAGAAAGAAAAAAGAAACCAAACTTGACCAATGGTTACCATAGGTGCAGGAGGAAGAGTTTTTGCTTGGGGGACATTGATTTATGTTAATGGTGGTGGAATAATTTGGAAAAGGATATCAATAACGGTTGTGTAACATGAAGAGTATAATCAATGGCAATGAATTATACAATTATATATATAGGAATTGTTGATTGGAGAATATTTTGTTGTGTATATTTTTGCCCCAATTAACAAATAATAATCACATGGTTAACAGTGAACACAAGGAAGAAGAAAGTGTTCTAGAATTGATTGTGGTGATGTTTGTACAGTTTTTCTAAATCCGATTGACTTACTGAATTGTGTGACAGGTTTGTGGCTTGTGAGCTGACGTGCCAGGAATGACATTGGGACCCTAGACCCAGACAGAGAATCCCGGGTTAAAATCATCACGAAGGATTAGGGCTAGAAAGGTCATAGTAATTGGCTATATCTTATTTACATGTATGCTTCAACCCAGAATGCGTCTTACTTTCCACAGCTGTGGACTATTGTGCCTCGGAAAACCATGGATGTGAACACGAGTGTGTCAACGCTGATAACTCCTACGTTTGCCGGTGCCATGAAGGATTTTCTCTTAACCCCGATGAGAAAACATGCACAAGTAAGTGATACAAAACCGGAAAAAAAAAAAAAAAAAGGCTGCTGTTCATATAGGGGTTGTGACTTTGGAAATCACCCGAGCTTGGACTCAACCTTGTTGCCATCAAGTCCGAGCGCCTCACGACAGTCCTGTGTGCCTCGGAGGACAACTGCTCTCCAGAGGATTTCCTGCGGCTGCTACCTTCTGGAAGCAGATCTTCAGGATCTTCTTTCAAGATGCCTGTGGGTAGGTTAGAACCTCCAACCTTTCAGTTATCAGTCAATGGTTTGCACCACCCAAGGACTACACAGAGATAAAGGTATGATTACATCCATTCAAATTCACTACCCTCAACTCAATTCCATCTCTTAGTGACAAGGTAGAGGACAAGGTAGAACTACCCCTGTGGGGTTTCTGACACTGTAACTCCTGATGGGGATAGAAAGACTTATCGTTCCCCCCACTAGAGAGGCTGGTGTTTTCAAACTGCTGACCTTGCAGTGAGCAGCTCAACACATAACCAACTGTGCCACCAGGGATCCTGCTAGGATTAGGTGGCAGGGGGGTCTAATACCTTCTGCTCCTATTCCTCTTTGGTCAGGCCTTTTTGAACCTGTCTTAAAACTGTAGGCCAGTGTCTCCGGCCCCACTGTGTCTCAAAGTCACCCTTCCAGGGAGTTGATGAAGGTGTGTTGTATCTGTAGCTGGGGTGATTTTTTCAGCATCTGCTGGACGAGTGTGCTGGCAATCAGACCCCTGACTTCCTGGTGACTCAGCCGGCTATGCCTATCAACATTAATAGGGTTTAAGAAATAACTTCATGGAAGCTTTGTGGCTTGTGGACTTAACTTCAGCTTCCCACAGGAGCAGGAAAATTGCTGAGCTGGGTTGAATATGGTTGCTTCTGGGGAGGGAGAAGGAGGTGGAGGGAGGTTTGCAGAGAACTGCTCGTTTTGAAACTTAAAGTATTATTACAATATTTAGTTATATTTTATTTTTACTGCATGTGTCAAAGTCAAAGTCAATTGGAGCTCCCAAAATTGGAACAGGAAAGTCTATAAAGTTAAAAAAAAAAAAAGCAAGGAAAAGATTTTCGTACTAAAGGGAACAGACTGGAGAGTTCCAAGGGGGTGGGCAGGGGCAGATAAGGCAGTGGACTAGACTGTTGATGGTGCTCACTCAGTGACATGGAAGAGCGAAGTCCAAGAGAGGGAGAAGAGAAATCAATGAGTAGGGTGAAGGGTAAATTACTGAGGGGGTTGACGAAGAGTTTAAAATGATGAATACAAAGTTGTTGCTTTGCAGCATAATTGATAAAGAGCCCTGGTGGCACAGTGGTGATGTGCTGGGCTGCCAACCAAAAGGTCAGCAGTTTGAAACCACCGGTGGCTCCATGGAACAAGGATCAGGCTTTCCATTCCCATCAGTGTTTGCAGTCTCGGAAACCCGCAGGAGCAATTCTACCCTGCCCTCTAGGGTTGCTATGAGCTGCAGTCGACATGGGAGCAGCCAGATGAAATTTATAATTCAATATGGTTTTAAAATGTCTCAAGAATTAAGCACATTGACACAATGGATGGATGGATGGACTGTGATGAGAGTTGTACGAGCCCCCAGTAAAATGATTTTAAAAAGAAAGAATTAAGCACAACATATTATAAGAAGGAAAAATAAAAATGTATATGGGAACCAAAAAAATGTCTATAAAGTAAAGAGGATCAGTAGTCTTGCTAAAGGGTTCCAAAACAATTAAAAAATATACTGTATAAAGGCCAGAGCACCTAAGGGACTGTGAATTGCTGATTGAAGTTCCTTGAAAGAAGTTAGTTTCTAAAGTACTAGTATTAAGGCCCAACATTTTCCCCCCAACCTTTTTAAAGAGTGAAGTTTAATATGAATTTAGAATAAGTGAGACATCTCTGAAACATACATCCATGAGGAAATAGAGCTTCAATTCACCAAAAAGGGGGCACATTGAGGACAAAGGAATCTTTGTGGGTCCCCTTGCATGGCCTGCGGAAATGAATAAGACCATGCCCTTATCGAAGGAGAAGTTACCCAAGCCTTGAAGGCTAAGCCATCATCTTTCAGACAAAGAAGGTTGAAATGAGGGTTCCTGGATGAGGAAGAAATACAAGCAGAGACAGGAGCCAGACCAGGGTAGTTGAGCTCTCCAGGCCTGGTACCTACCTGGCGTGCAGTTGATGCTCACTGTTTGAGTATTGCACAAACAAGTGAATGATTGAATGAGTGAATGAACGGCTCTATTACTTATCCCCCTTGTCTTCGAGATAGTGTGCATTATAAAAGAGCAGCCTGGCTTGTAGAAGGGGCTGGGGAGGTATGGTTGCCGAGTTGATGGGTAAGCATTTCCCATCAAAGCCACAAGGGAGCCCTGGTGGCATCGTGGTTACACGTTGGCCTGTGAACCCCAAGGTCAGCAGTTTGAAACTACCAGCAGCCTTGAGTGAGAAAGAGGGGATTTCTACACCCCCAAACAGTTACAGTCTCAGAAACACTTAGGGGCAGTAAGTTTAATTTGGGTTTTGGTTTATCAAAGCCACAGGCTTCGGGATGCCTGGGGAGCTACCTCAGTTCAAATCCTAGCTCTTGCACATTAGCTGGATGATCTTGGGCAGCGATGCAAACCTCAGTTTCCCTCCCTGTACGAATGGTTGATAATGCTGCCTGCTTTGCAGCATTCACTCAGGAACTAGAGGAGGTCATTCATATACACCACCTAGCAAACTGCCAGATGCTGAGTAAGTTCTTTCAAAGGCTTGAAATTAGTGAAGAATTGATTAAATATAGACCGAATGCTAGCAAGTAGATTCCTATTCATTGCAGCCCGTGGGTGCCAGTGGAGGACTGCGTGCCAGAGAGTTTTCTGTGGCTGATCTTCAGAATTAGATAACCAGATTTGCCTTCCAAAGTGCCTGTGCATGGACTTGAACCTCCAACCTTTCCACTGAGTGTGTTCATCTTGTACTGTCCAGGGATTCCCTTGGTCGCATTCCAGGGCTCAGTTTAAAGGTGCATAAAAAAATTCAGGGAAGACGCTTAAGACAATGGGCTCAACCCTAACAGCCATGGTGAGGGTGGCACCGGGGAGTGTTTCCTTCTGTTGTCCGGGGGGCCTCTGGGAGCTGGGACTGACCCGATGGCACCTAACAACCCCAAAACCTTCAGGACCTGGCTCCTGCCTCCTGAAAGTTTGTACCGGAAGCTGGTAGGTGACACATCAAGCCAGACCCATCAGCTTGGTCACAGAATAAAGTATTAAAAGACCTCATATAAGGAGCCCTGATGGTCTCATGATTATGCTTTGGGCTTCTCACCTCAAGGTCAGCAGTTCCAAACCACCAGTGGTTCTGCCGGAGGAAGAAAAAGCTTTCTACTCCTGTAAAACACTACTGTCTCAAAAAACCCACATAGTCAGTTCTGTCCTGTCCTACAGAGTCACTCTAAGTTGGCATCCATGGGATGGCAGGGAGTTTGTCTTGGTTTTAAAGTGTTAAAAAGCAAGGATGTCATTTTGAGAACTTGGGTGTGCCTGACCCAAGCCAGGGATTTTCTCAATTGCCAAATATGCATTCAAAAACTAGACAATGAATAAGAAAGACCAAAGAACAGATGCCTCTGAGTCATGGTGCACAGGTGAAGACATATATGACGCAGAGCACAACACAGACAGATCATGGCAGGACTTAGAGGAAGGAAGAGACCATTGGACGAAAACAGTTGGGGTTGCTTATCACCAGGATGGAGCCTACAGTCAACACAGACCAGGACCAGACTCTTTCCTACCTCTAAAGGACTCCTTCCCTGGTTGGGGTCACTTGTTTTCCACCACCACCCCTGCCCAGTTCCCAGAGCTATACCATCACCCCATAGCTCAGCCTGTCCCCTATTCCAGAATTCCACGTGCTGTGGAGAATGCCGAGTCCCAGGATGGTGCAGGCAATGAGGTCTGAGCTCTGGGCTCAGGCTCTGGAACTAGATATGCAGTGTAGGGGGACTGAGAGAGGAGGCTTGGCTGGGAATCAGGGGAGGGAGGGAACCAGCTGGGAGGTCTCACCATCTAGGCGTAGAGCCCGGGAGTCCAGCTGTCTCTAGGCCCCGTCAAACTCAAAAGACTAAGAAGTGGGCTGTCTTACTGCAGGGGGTGGCAGGGAGAGTTCTGAGAAAGCTGAGGGGTCTGCGCAGTCATCATCAGGCATGTGTGTCCTTTTGAAAAGGGACCCCTTCCCATCATGCTTGGAGACGGAGCACGGAGCCAGACTTGGGAGGGGGCTGGCAAGAGAAAGGAGATACCCAGCGTACTTGCAAAGTCGTGAGAGTGAGAAATCAGCTGGGAGCCCAGTTCAAAGAACCAGGGCACGGTGGAGTACTCCGGGCTTGTGACGGGGATAGGAACAAAGGCCAGTTGTGGCGGCAGAAGCATGGGATGGAGGTAGACATTCAGATCTAGGCAGCCAGCCTGTTAGTCATTAGCGAGTCTTACAGGGGTTCCGGGCCTGGCAGCCTTGCTGCCACTGCAGTGTTGGCAAACCGAGAACGCCTTTGTGCTTCTCATCAAGTCTGTGCTTCTCAGAAACTTTCAAAAATGAAAATAAATGACAGCTAGTGTCTTAAATTTTGGCTCATCTTCATGGGATTTTAACCAAATTTTACATGAAAGCTGATCCAATTAGTGTCCCATTATTATATTAAAATAGTAGACTAGTCAATGCATATTCCAGAAACCAAACTAAACATGTTGCATCAAGTTGACTCTCTTTTGAATCTCAACCTTATAGGACAGGGTAGAACTGGGTGTTTCCAAGGCTGTAAATATTTTTTTAACAATAAAATATTTTAATAGTTTTATTGATATAAAATTCACAGATGCACTTCCACAGGTAAGCCACATTTAAAGAGTTGTAGATACATCATCACGATCTGTTCTCGTGCTCCTTCCCCCTCCCACATTCATTATTTGCTCCCCGATTCCCTCACTGCCCCTGCCCTCTACCCCTCAT